ACTTGGTCACCGGGTAATGAATAGTCAAAAACTTAATGAATAACCAAACAAATCTTTCATTCATAACCGACTGCCAAGCTATAACGGCCAATCTTTCATTCTAGTTTTAGAGTCCAATGCTAACTCTAAAACTAAGTGGGCGTTTGGACATAAGAATGGTAAAATTTCGGAAAAAAATAAATTTTTTTTACAAGTGAAAATGTTATTTGAAAACAAGAGTTGTGTTTGGACATGAATATAATTTTTGGTTGTTTTTGAAGTTTTGTGAGTGATATGAGTAAAATTTTTATAAAAACAGCTTTTGGAATTTTTCAAATTTTCGAAAAATTTCAAAATCCATCTTCAATTAAAAATTTAAAAATTTATGGCCAAACACTAATTTCGAAAAAAAAGTAAAAATATTTCGAAATAAGTAAAAATTTTCTTATGTTCAAACGGGCTCTAAATACTCCCTCCATAACATATTTTCACACTTTCATTTGTCCTTTTTATTTGTCAGTCACCTCTGGTTGTGGCAAAAAGATTTTAAAAAAAACAGTTATTCATTAGTTGAATAATGTATTTTTTAAAAACGGATTAAATATGGATAAGAATCATATTATCCGCTTAGAAAAATGGAAAATTAATTGATTTAACTTTTACATTTGTAAATATTCAAATTGGGGTTATTCAAGCTTGGGAGATTAGGAATTCTTCCAAAAGTGATCATTTTCAAAAAGACATGGATATTATTCGCCGATTAACCCGTTTTCTATCCGCATTAAATATGGGTCGAATTGGATAATTTATTAGTTTTTGTATTATTCATTTTTTACCCGCCCATATTCGACCCAACCAGGCCGTTGGCCCCTTAGTCACCACCGAAAAATGTATTCCAAAATATGCATTAACTTTGTTAGGATCGGGAACCCGAGTAGTGCGGAATATAGCCAAACAACGGTATAATGATAATAACAAAGACAATGGAAATTGATAACAACGACAATTAAAGTAGATAAAGAAGACACAAATTTAATGTGGTTCGATCAAAGTGACCTACGTCCACAAGCGGAGATGAGCAATTTACTATAACAACAAGAGTACAAAAGAGAGTACAAAATTAGAGTAAACACTCTAATTAATCCTAAATACCCTAAGAGAATAACCTCACAAGATCACTCCAAAGAAAGGATTCACACAAGTGCTTCCCAACACTTAACTCTCATACAAAACACTCTTAATAAAGGAAGAAAGGAAGAAACAAGAATTGAAGACAAGTCTTGTTGGTGTGTCTAAAATGAACTAATGGCCTTCCCTTTTATAGGCAAAAAAGTCTTGACCTCTTAGGTGTAAAAGAAGAGATACAACTTGTGCAAATGATGTCCAACACACAATGCAATATTTTTGGGTCCCAAAGAATATTGCCAACAAAGTCTACACTTTGCAAAGATGCTTATGCTTATGTGAGATGGACTCCATTTGACAAAATAATGGCCATATTACAAATCTCCACCTTGGCCTAATTTTGGATGATATAGTAAATTTGCTCCACCTTCTCCGCAAAAACCTCAATGGGCATATGTCAAAATTTAATGCCATCAAAATCAGACAAGTTGTATGATACCGAAATTGTAGTAAGGCCTATAACAGTGGATCCCAATAAAGTATACAAGGAACCAGATCTGTGTGCTTTCATGATCACAAGAGCACCATGAAAAACTTTCAGAACTCCACCTTCACCTGTGTACTTGCACCCAAGAGATTCTAGAGTGCCCAAAGAGATGAGATTTTTCTTCAAGTCAGGAACATGTCTAACATCAGTGAGAATTCTCACCATACCATCGTGCATTTTGATTTGGATTGTACTTTTTTCAAAAACTTTGCAGGCAGCATTGTTGCCCATCAAGACAACTCCACCTCCAATATATTCATATGTGGTAAATAAATACCGATTGTGACACATATGATAAGAACAATCCGAATCTAAAATCCACTCATTGTTAGATTTGAAACTATTATTAGTTGCTAAAAAAATAGTTCCCTCAGTCTCATCAGCAGCTACACTTACTTCGGTAGTGTCATTATTTTTGTGCTCATTTTTCCTTTCTTTATGCTTTTCTTTACTTTTCGGCTTATAGTATTCGGAGATATTGCGATCTTTCTTATGACAATAGCGACACTCTAAATTATTGTATCTGGATATGAAGTCCGATTTGCCCCTAACAAATAAGCCAACTTCCGCTTGAGTTCCACTAGCTTCCCCAGTAATATTACTATCTATCTGTTCTTTTGATTTTAAGATAGATTTAATATCCTTATAAGAGATATTATCCTTTGCATAAAGCATAGTATCTCTTATATGCTTAAAAGATGGGGGTAGAGAACAAAGCAGTAATACGGCTTGATCCTTATCTTTAATTTCAGCATCTATATTACTCAAATGCATAAGAATTGAATCAAAGATGTCAAGATGAGAGAGAATAGAGGTACCTTCACCCATACTAATTGTATAGAGCTTTTGCTTCAGGTAAAGTCTATTTTCCACCGTCCTCTTCATATATAAAGTTTTCAATTTTTTTCACATGCCTTTGGTTGTGGTTTCTACAGAAACTTCACGTAAAACCTCATTTGAGAGATTTAAAATGATACCTGCTTTTGCCTTTTTGTCTATGATGGCAAACTCCTCGTCCGTCATTTTATCTAGCTTCTTCTCCTTTCCTTGCAACGCCAAGTCTAAGCCATCCTGAATTAGGATAGCTTCCATCTTTATTTGCCACATTTCGAAGTTTGCACTTCCGTCAAATTTCTCAACATAGGTCTTTGTTAGAGTCATTTTGGCTATTGAAACTAACCCGGTTAGATCCGGCTCTGATACCAATTTGTTAGGATCGGGAACCCGGGTAGTGCGGAATATAGCCAAACAACGGTATAATGACAATAACAAAGACAATGGAAGTTGATAACAACGACAATTAAAGTAGATAAAGAAGACATAAATTTAACGTGGTTCGGTCAAAGTGACCTACGTCCACAAGCGGAGATGAGCAATTTACTATAACAACAAGAGTACAAAAGAGAGTACAAAATTAGAGTAAACACTCTAATTAATCCCAAATACCCTAAGAGAATAACCTCACAAGATCACTCCAAAGAAAGGGTTCACACAAGTGTTTTCCAACACTTAACTCTCATACAAAACACTCTTAATAAAGGAAGAAAGGAAGAAACAAGAATCTGAAAGAGAGTAAAACGCCCAAAGATAAGGTGTAGAGGAGATCGCTCACCAATAATAGGAGCCATCGTCTTCTTACTCAGATAAACGGCCATCATTAAATTGGCTTTACTAGGAGAAGACAAGTCTTGTTGGTGTGTCTAAAATGAACTAATGGCCTTCCCTTTTATAGGCAAAAAAAGTCTTAACCTCTTAGGTGTAAAAGAAGAGATACAACTTGTGCAAATAATGTCCAACACACAATGCAATATTTTTGGGTCCCAAAGAATATTGCCAACAAAGTCTACACTTTACAAAGATACTTATACTTATGTGAGATGGACTCTACAAAATAATTGTCATATTACAAACTTTTCATTTTAATTTCACCCTTACTGCTCTAGCAGTATAATCATTAATGAAAGTCAAACACTCTAAGTGACCTTTTTTTACGATTGTACAAAACTTAAACATAAAAATGACCGAATAAAAATGAACAAAATTGAATCCTTTTCAAGTCTTTCAATTTTAAGAAGAATTTCGGCCAAAGGATATGGAAAATTCACATTCAATTTTTTTTTCATGTTTTTGGAGGGGTCTTTTTTTTTTTTGGATAGCATTCTCAACATTCTTTTCTTATGAACATATTTTTTGCTCAGTTTTTTCACATCCCTGCAAAATCATTTTTTTTTTTTGCAGAAGCAAGATGAATACTATAAAAGTATTACCTAAAAAACAACTCCCTCCATTACATTTTATATGAATTATTATTTTTTGATCTGTTTCAAAAGTGAATGAATGAATTTCTAAATTTGAAAATAATTTAGCTTAAACTTTCAATTCTACCCTTAATGAAAAGTTTTTATAACTACACAAATACTCTAGATCCCTTTTTGACATGTTTAAGACCACAAACTTCAAAAAATTTAATTTTTTCTTAAATTTCGTGCTCATTCAAACAAGTTCACATAAATTGGAACGAAGAGAGTAACGACTGAGACTATGATATCTCCGTTCACTCAATCTTGCTAATGCCAATGCGCTTAACAAAAGCATCCCTTATTGCTTCTGTGTGCATAGTGACCCCTTTATCCTCAAACCCTGACTTATAATTTTCGGAAAAGGATTATAAATGTCCCGAACGTATTGGAAATGGTTTAAATTTGCCCTTCTTTCATCAATTAGGCCAAAATTGCCCTTAATGTTAATTTTTGGGTTAAAAATGCCCATCTTTTTTAACAAAATTATGAGATGGCAAATGTGGATCCTTTAATTAAATAGGTGGCACTGACGTATTGGTCCATGTGGCATTCGACCCGACCCATGAATAACCTCAACTAGTTGGATTTGTTTGCTTAAGAGTTTGGCGATTGTTAGGGCTGGATTGCAAAATATCCACCATTGTTAAAGGATGAAGAAGCTTCGTCGAACTAAGAGATAGAATTGATTGGAGCTTGTTTGAATCAGTTTTGAACCAAAAATTAGAGCTTCAGACGTCAGTTGTAAAACGCAAAGCATCGAAGGAACGGGGTACGAATAGATATGAAGTTTGTGGAAAGATTTTGAAATTTGTTCATTTCTTGAGGATGGAAACCATTATAAATTGATTTATACCAATACATGTTGGAAAAGTTGAATTTGTACCAGAAAACTTTGAATTGCCATTGTTGAACTATCTGAAAGCTTGAGTTGAATTTTGAACCCGATCATTTGTCGCCGCATCAATTGGGTGTTTCGACTTTCGAGTCTGGGATTTTGAGTTATTTTTGGTTTTAAAACATCACTTTTACAGTCTTTGAGAAGTTTATACTGAATTTGAAGTCTGTTGGTTGAAATTCTCAATTTCTTTCTCAAGAACGAATCTGGGGTTGATAAAAATTTGAAGTACTAATTAAGGTTTGTTGAAATCATTCGGAAAAACCTATTGAATGGAGGCGGTGAATCGAGAGTAGTTGCTGATTCGAGAGCTCAGAATGGGCATTGTTGATCCTCTACTGCTGAGTTTCTTTGTTGAGATTAATTGTGTTAATTAATTTGCTTGACTAAAGCTGATTGAAACTTAAACCATTGCTTCTATACCTTGCTGTGAAGATTGACTTTTAAGCTTAAATCATTGCTTCAGTATCTACTAATCCAAGTGTAGTAGTGAAATTGTTGAACTCGAATCATTTCCTAGCTTGATGAAATCGGCTCCACCATTGTTGCTGAACTCACTTGATTTTTAGTGGTTTTGGGTTAACCCATATGGATCGGTTATTTATGGGTCTAATGCCACGTGGACCAATATATCAGTGTCACCTATTTAATTAAAGGACCCACATTTGCCATCTCATAGTTCTGTTAAAAAGAAGGATATTTTTTACCCAAAAATTAAGTTAAGGACAATTTTGGCCCAATAGGTAAAAGAAGGGCAAATTTAAACCATTTCCAATACGTTAGGGATATTTCTGACCCTTTTCCGTATAATTTTTAACTTCCTTATGTATCATATTTTGCAAAACTGCCAAAAATTCTGGGCTAAATAACTGTTTCTCCATAATTGAAGGACCAAAACTGTAATTCTCAATTACTGGAAGATTCTGGGGCATTAAGCCCGGAGCTGAAGATGGTGCGGGATCCGGTTCAGCTACTTGTGGGGTTACCCGACCCGTAGCTTCATTGAATCCGGATCCGGGTAAAGAAAGACTCAGAAATGTTGGTGGGTCGGGTACTGAAGGAGGTAAAACTCCACTGGGTCGGGCGGCAGGTCGATAAACATTCGATTGAGCAATCCCAGGAAAACCCGAATCGCTCAAGTCGGATCCAGACGGACTACCCGGATTCATTGATATTGTACCCGGCCCAATACTGGACGATCGCTTCAGCGGCTGCTGAGGAGTTTCGAATGACAAATCATCCGACGTGGAAGGACACTTTCGCTTAAGCGTCGAGTTCCAGTGGTTCTTTATGGCGTTATCGGTTCGACCCGATAAAAAACGGGCTATAGTAGCCCATTTATTACCGAGCTTAGCATGGGCTTTGAGAATAGTTTCATCTTCTTCAGCAGTAAAAGGGCGGTGCTCCACTTGAGGAGAAAGCTGGTTACACCAACGGAGCCTACAAGATTTTCCGGATCGACCCGGAATTGATTTACTTATAATAGACCAGTTTCTTGGCCCATGTTCTTCAACTAGCCTCTGCAATAACTCATCCTCTTCAGGACTCCATGGACCCTTGATCCGACCCGTTTCCTTAATCGCTTCCATCGAATTGTAAACAATCAACGGCGAGCTTTGAGATACCGGAAATGGAGGATTCCGGTCACTATTACCGGCTAAGGGGTGTAGAATATGTAAAGTAGGGGTGGTTGTGGGGAGGCGGGCCTCACCGTTTACTTGTAAAGACTTGGTGGGGGGAGATGGGGGTATATATACGAGAAGGGGTTCGGGTATGATCGGTTAGATGAGAGGAATAGACAGTTACTGATATACAGCTGGAATGGACACGCGTCAAATGATGAGCGATCTGTTTGGACAACTGTATATCATACTCACACTACAAAAATCTCGGGATTGTAGGGAAAAACTTAACAGTGTTCACACTAAATTGATGTGTTTTTAAGTACTTTCAAGTAGAGTATTTAATTAAGACTAATAGTTGTTGTAAGGATAAACATAATTGTATTCACACTAAATCAATAAATGTAGAAGGAAAGTAAAATCATAAGTTTTCAAATTCAAACTTTAGATTTGGGTAAATAAAATTATTTGGTATTTGTGCTAATAAAAGATATTAAATACCCGATAAAATAATTAAAGTAAATGCAAGTTAGTTCGAACATCAAAAACAACAATAATAATAACGATTCAGTGGAATCTCACGAGTAGGTCTCGTTAGTTCGAACATGAGTGCCATATATTTACATATGTCCTAACTTAATTTGTCATTTTTTTCTTGTAATTTAATTTATCATTTAGTATGAAAATATTGTGTAATTTGATGTAAAACTAATGTGGGTAAATTATCTTTTGTTGTTATATGATTACGGAAGAAATTCAAATCACTGACCGTTTTAGAAGTTACAAAATTTGCGGGATGGAAGTGAAGAGTACGGTTAGGGACGAGAAGTAGATGGACTTTTGCCTAGCCGGATTTCCCTCCGTGTGCATTATACGCACGCTCTCTCTTGTTTTTATATGGTACACTTGCCAAATTTTACAAAGTTAGTTATGTTATAAAACAATAATAGAAAAGAGTATTGTCGAAAAAAGTAGGGAGATGAAATTTTTATTGATTTGGGATCAATTACAATGGAATAGGACCCCTTTCCTCTATTTATAGGGAAAGAGTGACTTAGCCATCAAGTAAAATCCCTAAAATCTCTCTAAAATATAGACATTCACCTTAAATAAAACTCTATTTATAACACTCCCCCTTGAATGTCTATTCAACAGATAATATGCATCGTTAAAACCTTAACTAAAATAAAATACAGTGGGAAAAAAAATTCTAGGAAAGGAAAAAGAATATATATGTTTAGAAATACGCCTTTTGGTTGTCTCGTTAAAAACCTTGCAAAAAAATCCAATGGGACAAAATCTTTTAAGGGAAAAAGAGTACAGCGCGTATTAACTACCCCTTATGAGAGAATCAATTCACATCCTTGAGCCTTCGCATTCTAATCTTGTGCAACATCTTCAAAATATCGTTGGTAGAGATTTGATACACAAATCAGTCATATTAACTTGAATAAACATCATTCTTGATAGATATATAATGTCTTCATAAACTGCCGTGGAATGGCCTTTTCAATATCTCCGTAGAGGTAAAAAAAATTCTTGCTATCACATTATCATGCTTATAGTTATAGCAAGATACATTTGTGCATAAATTGCACTGAGAATGTGGTACTTCAAGATCAAGAATTGTATATGCTTCAAGCAATTGAATCCTTCAGGGATTATCATATAAGTATAGTCAAATAAGCCATATAAATAGACTTTAGATTTATATCAAATTTTCATGTCATGCTAGACATATAAAATAGATAAAAGTGATTGCATACACCATTAACTTTATACTTTCAAGTGTTTGAACTACATGTCCAAAAGTACATGTCTTTCGTATGAAACCAATTCTACTTGAATTGTTTCCTAGATTTAATATCCTCATATATATTTAACGTTATCATAGACGTAATCGACGAATATTTTATATCGATTCCAACAATCTTTTTTTTTTTAATAAAGACATGGCATAGATATCTCTTCATTCATATTTTCAGGTACCTAAACCTCTCCTGAATTTTATGAAATGTTATGTCATGTGATCTTCTAGATTACTTGCCACTTTATTATGATCATTTTGAACATTTGCTCATTTTCTTTATCAAGAATTTTACTTGAAATCAATTTATCTATATGCTTTAAGCATATCTTAGTCTTTGTCTTTCTATGACTTATTCTAATAGGAGCATTTGTAGTAAGAATATAGTTACTTTCTTTGGGTCAGCAAATGCGTCTGGCATGCTTTGTAATATATTGTAGATGAATTATCTTTTTATGAATTTCAAATTCATATTATCTTATTCGAGGATCTATATGTACAAATGATAATTCATTTGACATAACTTTTTCTCAATTGTTTATCTTGTCTCCCTCTCATGCTAGAAAAACTAACTTGCTTCCACAACTTTGGATACACCTTTATGCGTTATGGTGTTAATCAAAAGATACACCGCACATCAATAATAATAAGATGAAATTATTTGGTTCATGAGCCTGAACCACTTATGAGGGAAAAATGTAATATACTTTCGTATATAACGTATATCAACTGATATAGATAATTTATTCTCATAAGCAATAGTTTAACTATTAAGTGGAGGCACTCAATAAATCATTTTGCTAAACCAGCTGTGATATAAATCAACCTATCAAGATCAACTGTCTTGAATAGAAAATCTGGAAATTATGCTCTAAATTAAATTATTGAGCAAGTTACCTCACAAACACCAGGTTGCGGGTTAATAATAATCGCACATGTAACCATATCATAGATGCATCATTATAAGGTTTACATGGCAGGTGAATGGGCCCATATTCACCTTTGATAAATTTCATAATTCAAGGGATTCAATCCCAATTTTAGTTGGTATAATAATCGCGAGAACAAGTAACATAAGAGAATTCATAAAGAATCTTCTTCAACACTTACCCATGTTAATTCTCATTTATTTTACGCATCTAAATCAAGATTGCTCAATAGGCCATGCTTGATAAAGTTGTTTTGTATTAGTAAGCTTCAGGTTTACATCATGACATGTGCAATCGTTAATTAAACTTCCAGTTTACCGCGACATGGGTTTTATATCAATAAATATCCAGTTTACTCTGTCATGTAATTTCGCCATATTTTTTATTTGTGTAATACAAATCAGGCAATAAAGCGGGTAGTATTCATATATACATATTATCCCACTACAGTTGTAGTAATATAAAGATATTAAATTTTTATTATTTATACTCTCAATATAACCAACAACTTTCGCGAATACTTTAGAAACTCAATAAGTTTTTTTGAGACTTACTACGACACAAAATAATATAATTGGCTCTTCCAGAGCTCTCAATTAATTTTGTACTACCACTTATTCATCAATATCTATATGGTGAATAAGCTTTTAAGGAGAAAGTTATACCATTATGGTCATGGTCAAACTTATGCGCAAGATCTGTTTCTTGCATTACTGTTGTCTTTTAATAATCATATTGCTACAAATATTTTGGCGTATAATAAGTACGTGACCAATGACCATTTATGCCATAATAATGACATTATTTTCTTATTTCCTCTCAAACCTCCTTCTAGAGGTGAGTGTGGTATATACCACTAGCACGCTCATATTCTTCCAAAAATGAATATGTATTCATAAATCACATGTTGTCATATTCACATCATGAATAGACCATAATCATTTATATGTGCTTTACAAAATCTCATGTCAAATCGATGACAAATATTACTTTCACATAGTGAATGATTATTTTGATAATACTTATTGTTCTCGTTACCACAATGATGACGATTATAATTTCGTCTATTGCCACGTCCACATCCATTGATACAATTCATGGTAATAATTTTGTCTTCTTTAAGACGTATCACATACTGTTATCGCATTCTCTTAAGGGAATGAGAATGAAGCAAATTAATGGGACGGGTTTTCACTTCTTGTGCTCACAATCTTACATGAATTTGATCATGGCAAGACATAAAAATTTTACCACTTCGGGTGGTTATAATTTCTTGCAAACTCTATTAGAGTTATAATCAAAGTTAATTGTCTTTGTTGTATTTAAAATTAAATTATATAATATTAAAAATTTAAAAGAGAAAAATAAAGAAAAATACTTACCTTAAATCCAAAATTTAATCATGAAGAAAGTTAATGGAACAATTGACAATCATTATGCTCAATCCCAAAGCTTCTACTCAATTGGTTAGAGTCTTTGTGCTGATAACTTGTTATAAAACAATAAAAGAAAAAAAGAGTATTGCATAAAAAAGTAGGGAGAGAGAATTCTTATTGATTTGGGATCAATTACAATGGAATATGACCCCTCTATTTATAGGAAAAAAGTGACTTAGCCACCAAGTAAAATCCCTAAAATCTCTCTAAAATATAAACATTCACCTTAAATAAAACTCTATTTATAACAAGTTATTCTTTTTAGCAATAATCATTACTCTAAAACTGGGATTTACTCTAAAATTATCTTGGTAATTAATTACGCCTTTTTGTATCTCAAAACTGGGATTTAAACTTTTAATTTTACCGTTTATATATGTAATTTATTTATTTAATTGTAGGAGGATTGGGTGGTGAGTAGCTGGCACTACACAACAAAAGAAATCTGGAGAGGCCATGCTGTAAAACCTGACTCATCCTAATGTCCAGCGTGCCACAATCACGTGCATGTCACACGCGGCCACCTCAGTTTTTGAACTATTTTAAGTTGTAACTGATTCGGTCGTTTTCTCTTGCTTTTAAATAAGTATTGAAATCTAATTACATTTGTAACCACTTAACTATTTTCTCATGAGTTAGGAAGGAACATGCCACGCAAGTTATTGTCACCAAGTGGTTTGTTTCTCCACTTGTCCTAATTAATAAAATAACACTTCATGGAATTTAATAAGCATTAGCTGGTTTCTCACTAATGCAACCTTACTTAATTGTGTGATTAGTCTTTTTATTGGAGCATTGAGACCTAACCTATAAATTGTCCTGTTATTCGATATAATATTAATTAGAAGTGTACAGTTCCCAAGTCAATCATAGACTTCTTAATATATGCTCACTCCGTTAATTTTTACTTGACACGTTTTGA